TTGCCGTGTTCACAGGGTTTCTGTGTCCTTTACCTTATCATTGCCGTGTTCACAGGGTTTCTGTGTCCTTTACCTTATCATTGCCGTGTTCACAGGGTTTCTGTGTCCTTTACCTTATCATTGCCGTGTTCACAGGGTTTCTGTGTCCTTTACCTTATCATTGCCGTGTTCACAGGGTTTCTGTGTCCTTTACCTTATCATTGCCGTGTTCACAGGGTTTCTGTGTCCTTTACCTTATCATTGCCGTGTTCACAGGGTTTCTGTGTCCTTTACCTTATCATTGCCGTGTTCACAGGGTTTCTGTGTCCTTTACCTTATCATTGCCGTGTTCACAGGGTTTCTGTGTCCTTTACCTTATCATTGCCGTGTTCACAGGGTTTCTGTGTCCTTTACCTTATCATTGCCGTGTTCACAGGGTTTCTGTGTCCTTTACCTTATCATTGCCGTGTTCACAGGGTTTCTGTGTCCTTTACCTTATCATTGCCGTGTTCACAGGGTTTCTGTGTCCTTTACCTTACCTTTGCCGTGTTCACAGGGTTTCTGTGTTCTTTGTTTTGCCTTTGCCTTGTTCGCATGGTTTATGTGATCTACCGACCAACCGGCTGCACTTGGATTTGGTGTTGCCACCGACAGACCGAAATGATTAACTTCGATGTGGCCTTTGCTCCACGTGTGGCCCACCATGTAGTGGTCCCACGTGAGGGGGCATGTTGAAGTGGATCGACATTCTATTAAGAAGAAGCTTGATGCGGAAATATTAATAACGACAGTCTCTCTTTTGGCAAGTTGGTCATTGATGATATCTATGCACCAACTTGAGGGGGAGTGTTAGCAATAGTCAATTAATGAGGATTAGTTTGGCACCTACAATGGTTGGTAGCCTACAATGTTTAGTCAATTAATGTGTTAATTATGTAGTAAATTAATGTGTTAATTATGTAGTCAATTAATGTTTGGCACCTACAATATTTGGGGGGCTTGACTAGGTTGGTTGCCTAACTAGTTTGGTTGCCTAATTAGTTTGGTTGCCTAACTTGGGGGGCTTGACTAATGTCTTAGGAACTTGTATATATATGTGTTGATTGTAAGGAATGAAACATAAGTGAAAATCAGAAAATATTCTACAACTCTCATTCTCTCTACACTTTCCACTCTCTACTCTCAATATTCTCTATGTTTTAGCAGAGCAGACATGTCGCGTCGTGTATCATGGGAGAAGAAATTATCGAATGAGGAAGTGGCATACTTAACAAAAACAGCGTCTTTCATAGACAAAGAGGGATGGTTGGAAAAGCAACCGAAATAAGGCCTTTGTATAACCCCTTGAGCAAGCTAAAACAATAAAGGCCACTTACTAATAATGATCAATCCAATTTTATTGGGTGTAAAATTTCTTGTCAATGGAATTAGGGGTGTAAGTTGGATTGGAAAATCCGATTCCGACCGATTCCGGTCCGAATATTTCCAAAAAAATCCGACTCCGATAAATCCGATATCCGAAAATGCCGAATCCGATATTTCCGATAAATGCCGAAAATTCCGCAATTCCGATCCGAAAAATTCCGAAGTTCTCCGAACCCATTCCGATCCAATTTTTCCAACTTGATTCCAAAAAAATTCAAGTTTCTAATTAAAATTGTATTATTTTTAATTTATAGGTCTTATATATGTTTCATTTCTTATTTGTTATATTTTAGTACCCACATACAAATATTCATACATACTAAACATAGGCTTGGCAAAAAAATATACTAAACATAGTATATAACTTTAAGACTATGAGTAATATATAGTAATATACTAAACATAGTAATATATATTTGGCAAATATGCATAATGTGTGCTTGTTATATCCAAACGTACTACAAATATGGTAAATGTAGGGAGTATCATATCATACTATTATATTTTGTATTCTATGTATGTATGTATTTTTAAAATTTTAAACTATCTTCATTTAAAATTTTAATTATAAAATTATTTTATATATACATGAAATACAACACATAAGATAAGTATGTTAAGTGAATCTTAATAATTGTAGTATTCCAATTGCCTAGAGCAATAACACTCTTTACACATGTTCATGCCCACAAGAATCTAAAACCAACGTGATGGTCACTTGACTATAACTTGAGCATCAATTGATTGATGAATGTGAATCCATCTTTAGCATTTGAATCAATAAATTTTCATTCACATGATCAGAGCATGATGATGTTTGAAGGAGAAGATTTGACTGTTTTGGATATAATTTGATTGGATTGTTTGATCATTTGACGGAGAAGGGCTTTGATCATAGACTGAAACCAAAAACGCATAAAATAAGGATAGTTGGTTTTGATATACCATCCATAGGTTTTGGATGCATAGGTGTTCTTTTTCTATGAAAGTTATTGGAGTTGTTGGAGTCCCATTTCTGAGAGTTGTTGGAATCCCACATCGATTGAAAACATAGACTTCATATGTTTTCTTCTTTATAAATATCTTTACCCCAATTCAGTACTTGAATAGACTTCAAGTTCAGCCTACAATCTTAAGTGGGCTCGACAGGTCATTATTTAGTAGTATTTATGAAGTCTCTAGTTAGGTTTCTTAATTAATGCCTAGTTGGGCTTCTTGATAGAAAGCCTAATTGGGATCTTAATATTATTTTTTTTGTTAGTTACATATAATATTGATATGAATTTGTTCTAAAGAATTTGAAACTTCGGAATCGGAAAGTTCCGAAAAATTCCGGAATTTTTCGGAATCGGAATCGGAAGTGTTTAAGGAATTCCGAAATATTTTGGACGGAAATTGGAATGGCTGTTTCCGATCCGATCCGGCCGAATTGCAGCCCTAAATGGAATAATATACACATATATTCAACAAAACCATTCTTTAACTCCTTCAAGGTTGTGGGCCAGGTAGAAGACTTGTGCCAATTAACCATTTCTTTCTTTAATCACTAACATCAATAAATTTACTAATATATATATATTTATTGATTGAAATGAAGTTCAAAGGAGTCCAATTCTCCTCTTACCAAATGGCATGTGCCCAGCCTGTTTCCCTCCTGCTTTTTAACATGTGGCAGACCACTTACAGCACTTCTAAGTCTAACCCTGTTAACTCTGTTAAGTCCATTTGTTTTTATTAATAACAAAAAATATAAATTAAAATATGCGTTTTATCCTCCATTTTTACTGTCTCCTCCGCACAAACTCTTCCATGTTCATCCTCATTGGACTGCAAACACACCTCCATCTACACATCCATAAGCTTCTTCATCAGGTCCTCTCCATAAGCTACTTCCTCTCTGCCCAAAAACGCAATTTCAAGGATGCAACTCA